CACACAAGACCACCTACTCAGGCCCCATAAGCCCGGAAGGTGCCAATCAGCCTATATACCCCTACCAGTAGTCCCCTATCCCCGTAGGCAATCACATAGCCTTCTTAGGCATTAATATAGCCCCGTAGGCAGCACATAGATCTCTTCGGTATCAACGTAGCTTATAGACAACTCATAGCCCTCTTAAGCAACGACATGATCCTGTAGGAATCACATAGCCTTCTTAGGCGTCAATATAGCCCTGTAGGCAACTCATAGCCCTTCTAGGCACAATATAGTCCCATTAGCCAACATCATAGCCCCCATAGGCAGTTCGTAGCTCAACAGCTAACCACAATAGCCCCAAGGGCAACAACAAACAATTAACTAGGCTGAAGGCGAGCAATTTAGCTATAAACAATATATATATGAATAATCTCCAAGTCTTTCTTAACTTAGGGTCTTTCTTAACAGATCGTGAGTCCCTAAAATGAGGGGTTATAACCACCTAATCAGCCAACCATTCAAAAATACATCTACCACATCACCAATGTTAACTACATCTAAGGAAACATGTCGAACGAAGGGAATAACCTTAACATACCTTTCCAATGAACGCTCAAAAGACCGTAGTTCCTTCACGAAAGTTGTTCCTTATGTCCTAAGCTTCGTAAACACTATATATACACAGCTGGTACACACCTATAAGCAGTTTATAATTAATCTTATATCGGCAGATTTTCCATATTGCCCCAACTTGTCGAAACGTCCGTAGAAATTCATAAAAATAATCATAAAAGAGTGCCAAAATGATTACCTTAGTTAACCAAGTTAAAACTTTGAAGAAACACCAATAATTACAAATTTATATCTTCAAAAACCAGCTCCAAACGCAGCAAATAGAAGGGAAAAATGATTGCCACGTGTAGGGATTACGTTTCTAGGCACGGGGGCAATGTTTAATGGTAGAAATTGTCAAAACTAACGTTCATTATACTAGGACTTCATAGAAACCCTCTCCTAAGCTTTCTCTCTGGTTTTAGAACTGAAATGAACTGTTTCCATGGCTAAAAACGTTAAATAGCCGACATACCATATTTCTTTACCCGACCCGAATCTGACCCGAATTCTGCCCTGGCAGTCCCTAGTAAAACCCTCACAATTTTTTACTCGGATGTCCGTTTGATACGGGGGTTTGTGCGTTGCAAACTAGACTCGTAGGCCTTCAATTTAATGGGTAATAGGCCTTCTAACTCCTTATATATTGAGATAAAACATCCAATATATTTGACCCAAATTTCAAAGAAATCTTTAAAAAGGACTTATGATAACTTTCGCCAACTTTTATTTTGCCACTTACTTAACTTCAAAACTTGAGATAAAAACCCTTGAACACTTAAAATATGACATACCACATCCTTTTTAATTTATTACTCACCCTCTTTGTCTTTCCACGAAGGTACGAGTTAACTTAGACATTTTGGAAAAATCGGGGTGTTACAAGAACGATCCTAAGTTAGGAACGACTTGGAGATTATTCATATATATTGTTTATAGATAAATTGCTCGCCTTTAGCCTATTCAATTGTTTTTTGTCGCCCTTGGGGATATTGTGGTTAGTTGTTGAGCTATGAACTGCCTATGGGGGCTATGATGTTGTCTAATAAGATTATGTTATTGCCAAAGAGGGCTATATTGATGCCAAAGAGTGTTATGTGTTGCCTACAGGGCTATTTTGATCCCAAAGAGGGCTATGTGTTATCTACAGGTGTATGTTGATGCAAAAGAGGGCTATGTGCAGCCCACAAAGCTATGATGTTGCCTAAGAGGGCTATGCGCTGCCTATGGTGCTATATCGTTTCCAAAAAAGGCTATGTGACTTCTTACAAAGACAAGGGGCAATCGATAAGGGTATGTAGATTGATTTGGTACCTTCTGGGCTTATAGGGGCCTAGGTAGGTGGTATGTTATTTGTACCTATCGAGCTTATGGGGGCTTGGTTAGGTTGTTGTTTGATCATTTTTGTATTTCTTGATTCAATAGTGGCTTAGCATACTTATCTAAATTTTGATTTCCTTTCGTGATTGCTTTTGGTATAGTATGATACTTGCTCATTTAGTCTATAGCCTTTCATACTCTATACATTATTTTGTACTGACGCCCCATTGCCTGGGGGCGCTGCATTCATGCATGCAAGCCCCGACAGAGGACCTAGTAGACCTCCTCACTAGCAGGATTGACTTCTATCCGATTGGCTATCCCCTTTCCTTCGGAGCTGCCAGAGTTGGGAGGTTTGTTAGCTTTTATTGTATATGTCTTTATGGGTAGGCTGGGGTCCTGTCCCGCCAATATTTACTACTCTTAGAGGCTTGCAGACGAGTGTGTGGGGTGTATAGCTACGTTATGACCATGCTGGCCTAGTTTTGTGGTTTGCTGAAGCTTGTGAGTTGTTTGATGTATTGTCTTGATATATACCTGCTTTCACTTTTGGTATAGATATCATGGTGACCTCGACGGTCTAATAATGAATTTTGTGCTAGTTGGCTATTTATTTATATGAACTCTTGGGAGTATTTGTTTCTTTTATAGATCTGTTGACAGGGGCCTTGTCGGTCGAGAGATTAGTTTTAAGCTTATTCATACTTGTTTGTTTTCTTGATTGTGTGTGGCTGCCATGCGCTAGTAGCTAATGGTTTAGCAAGGTCGGCTCGGGCCTGAGTTTTGGCATTAGGAGCCAGTTTCACCCCTTGAGTTTGGGGCGTGACACTTTCCTTTCCCAATACCTTTGTGAAGATATCAGACACTTGGTCTTTCGTCTTGTAGTACCTCATCACCACATTCTTCTTATCAACATTGTCTCTGAGGAAGTGATGCCTCACATCTATGTGTTTGGTCCTCTTATGCTGGACATGATTCTTTGCCATTTTCATTGCGCTGGTATTGTCGCATATAAGAGGAATGGTATCTGTAAGAACACCAAAATCTTTGAGTTGCTGGTTGATCCACAAGATTTGAGCACAACATGATGCATCAACCACGTACTCAACTTCAGCAGTTGATAGAGCTATTGAATTCTACTGCTTTGTTCCCCATGAGATTAGTGATGACCCTAGAAAATGAGCCATCCCAGAGGTGCTTTTTCGATCAACAAGAAACCCTGCATAATCAGCATCACCATAACCAATTAGATCAAAAGAGTCATCAGAAGGATAGAAGAGGACCAAGTCATGTGTTCCCTTCAAGTATCTCAGTATTCGCTTGACTTCTTTCAGGTGTAACTCTTTTGGAGCAGCTTGAAACCTGGCACACATTCCCACGCTGAAGACTATGTCAAGTCGACTTGCAGTGAGGTAAAAAAGAGATCCAATTATCCCTCTATACATAGTCTGATTTACATCAATGCCATCTTCATCCTTGTCGAGTTTTTCATTAGTACTTATTGGAGTATCAATGATTTTGGCCTCTATCATACTGAACTTCTTGAGCAATTCCTTGATATACTTCTCCTAACAAATTGATACACCCTGGGGAGATTGTTTGATTTGCAACCCTAAGAAAAAGGTTTGTTCCCCCATCATGCTCATTTCAAATTCACTGCTCATTAGGGCTGCAAATTCTTTACACAACGGATCTATAGTAGCTCCAAAGATGATATCGTCTACGTAGACTTGCACTACCAGGAGCTCCTTTCCTCTTGACTTCAAGAACAATGTGTTGTCAATTTTTCCTCTTTTGAACCCATTTTCAAGAAGGAATTTTGATAATCGCTCGTACCAGGCCCTGGGTGCCGGCTTTAGGCCATACAATGTTTTGTCTAGCTTTAGCACATGATTAGGCTGACTAACATCTTCAAAGCTGGGAGGTTGCTTGACATAGACTTCCTCCTTCAAGTACCCATTTAGGAAGGCACTGTTGACATCCATCTGAAAAAGCTTGAATCCCATGTATGTGGTGAAATTTATTAGTATTCTTATGGCTTCCATCCTTGCAATAGGTGCAAAGTTCTCATCATAATCGATCCCTTCTTCTTGACTATAGCCCTGTACTACTAATGTTGACTTGTTTGTTCTGATTGTTCCATGATCGTCCAGCTTGTTTCTGAACACCCATTTTGTGACAATGATGGTTCTGTTAAGTGGTCTGGGACCAGGTGCCATACTTTGCTCCTCTCAAACTGATGCAACTCTTCTTGCATGGAGTTGACCCAGTCAGCATCTAATAGAGCTTCTTTGATGTTCTTTGGTTCAAGAGTGGATATGAAAACTGAGAACACAACCAAATTTCTTGCCTTGATGATTGATGATGAGGGGAAATCAAGTTGTCTAGAGGATGAGATGATTGATGTTTCCATCCTGATTTTCTAGCAGTTTCCTCATCAGGTTCATCAACTTGGACATCGCTTTCTGATTCTCCATTCTTAGTTTCTCCTTCATGAGCATCATCTGGAGCAGCAGAAGGACCAGGTGCTTCCACAGGTTGTTCAGCCTTTTCATTACTCTGATTCCTTTCATCGCAAGCTTCTCGAATATCCCTCTGAATTTGCATTAGCTCCTCAACTCACATGATTCATCAAAAATTACATGCACACTCTCCTCCATACATTTTTTCCTTTTGTTGTATACCCTATAGGCTTTGCTTGAAGAGGTGTATCCCACAAACATTCCCTCATCACTTCTTGGATAAAATTTTCCAAGATCATCATTGCCGTTGTTCAGCGAAGCACTTGCATCCAAAAACCTTTAGATGACTACATGATGGCTTTCTTCTGTTTAGCAATTCATAGGGAGTTTTCTTAAGAACTGACCTATTTAAACATTCGTTGGTGACATAGCAAGCTGTATTTACTGCTTCTGCCCAAAAGCACATTGCAAGACCAGAGTCTATGAGCATTGTTCTGGAAATGTCTACCAGTGTTCTGATCGTCCTTTCAAAAACCCTATTTTGCTGAGGAGTTCTTGGAGAAGAGAAGTTATGGTGGATTCCATGGTCCACGCAAAAGCCTTTGATTTGGGCATTTTCGAACTTGGTACTATGATTTGACTTGATGCTTGCAATTTTGCAGTTTAGTTTCAACTCGATCCCCTTTGCAAAGGTCACCAGTGTTTTAGCTATTTCATCTTTTGATCTCAAGAACATGTTCCACGTGAATCTGGAGAAGTCGTTGAAAATTACCAGGTTGTATCTCTTCCCTCCTCTACTTTGGATTTTCATTGGTCCACACAGATCCATGTGAAGAAGTTCTAGTGGCCTAGAGGTGGTGACGCCTTTCTTTGCCTTGAATGATGATCTAGTTTGCTTGCCCCTTACGCATGCCTCACACATTTTATTTTCAACAAACTTCAATCTGGGGAGACCGCAGACCGGTCCGCTGCAACTAATTTGATCAGCAACGAGGAGCTCACGTGACCCAACCTTCTGTGCCACAGACTTGCATTTTCAGATTGAGCACTAAGACAAGTAAGATTTTCTCCTTCAATAGAATTCAAGTCTACAATATACATGTTCTTCACTCTTTTGGTAGTAAGAACAACTTTATTGGAAGTGAGACTTGTGACTATACATTGATCTGCCACAAATCTTACCCTTTATCATATATTTGTGACACACTAAGAAAGTTGTATTTCAAGCCACTCACATAATACACACTTCTATGGAGTGATTCATTGATCTCCCAATGTTCCTAACACCTAAAATGAGCCCCTTTTTCCCATCACCAAATGACACACCACTCCCCTGGTGTGCTTCCAAAGAGAGAAAGTTTTGAGTGTCTCCCGTCATATGTTTCGAGCAACCATTGTCCATATACCAACATTAACTGCTTTCTCTCTTCTAAACAAGAATCACTTATTAGATTTAGGAACCCACTTGAGATGAAGTTCCTAAAAACTGTCAAAAGGTTTAATGAGAAACCTTCATGTCCATTGGGGGAAAAGTGTTCTTGCTAAAATGGTAACTGGGACCAGGTGCCAGGTAAATTTCTGTTTTCTACTTTTCTTTTACCAGACTTAAAGAAGTTCTCCTAATTTTCTTGAACCCTATTTAGAGAGTCACAATTCTTCTTCAGGTGACCATTTCTTCCACAATGGGTACACAAGAGATTGTTAGAAACTGAGACATATTTACTGTGAAGGTTGTAGGGAGGTTCTATCTTTTTACACCCTAAGCCTTTTTTGTTGTTGAACTTCTGATTAGCTAGGTTTTAAAGAATCTTAGATGAATCAGTCCATTTCAAGGAATGGCTTAGTTCTTCTTTTATCTGACTCAAGTCCCTCACTAACTATGAGTTCTTTTCAAGAGAAACAACTAATTTGAACTCGGAAGCTTTCAACCTTTCTTCTAGTTCCACCTCAAAACTACTAAGTTTTTTTTTTCCACCCTCAGAGGTACCAGGTTCCCCGTTAGGCTTCAGACTCTCAGATTCTAGAATACTCACCCTAGTGTTCATTTCAGACATTTGAGACATAAGAGCAATTTTCTCATCCTCACAGATACTCAGTTTTTCACTTAACATGGCATTTTTATTTGTTATTTCATCTACAGAATCAATAAAAACTGCAACAAGTTTTCTCAGTCTCTTGATTGACAAGGTGTCTAAATCACTTTAAGATAACAAGTTATCTCATCTTTTTCATCTTCTTCATCAGTTTTTGCCATCAGGAGAATATGGAGTTGAAGACAGTCTCGTCATCCTTCACCACCACCATGGAGGCATCTTCATGACCCTCCTCCTGCTCAGAATCACCGGAGACATTTCCCCATGCTCAAAGGCTTTCTTTACGACTTGATCAGCATGAGCCCTCCTCCTCTTGGCATGGTAAGGGACCTGGTCCATTCGACGTGGTTTGAACCCCTGAACTTCTTGCTTTTGGCTCTGACAGTCTCTCATGAAGTGGCCAGGCTTTCCACATTTGTGATACAGATCGTTTGCAGTAGCCGTTTTACCGGTGGTTCCTTTTTTCTGGAATCCTTCATGCTTTTTGACAATCTTCTAGAATCTCCTAGTCAGATAGGACATCTCATCCTCATCATCAGATCCATCACTTTGAGCCATTTTTAATGCAATGAATTTCTCCCTTTTTCACTCCTTCACTAACGAACCTTGCTGCCTGTTCAGCTCGTAGGTCTGCAAGTTTTCGATCAGATCGTCTATGGTAAGCACTTTTAGGTCCCTTGCCTCAGTGATTGCATTCATTTTACTTTCCCAGGATTTGGGAAGAACTCTGAGAACCTTTCGAACTTGTTTGCTTGGGTGAATGGGTTCACCAAGGCATCTTAGTTCATTTGTGATAGAAGTGAACCTTGTATGCATCTCATGAATGGTTTCTCCTTCCTTCATGCTTAAGTTCTCGTACTGAGTTGTCAACATGTCTACTTTAGACTCTTTGACTTGGGTGGTTCCTTAGTGGGCTGTTTTTAAACAGTCCTAAATTTCTTTTGCAGTCTCACAATCCAAAATCTTGTTGTACTCATAAGGTCCAATCCCACAAACCAGCAGCTTCTTGGCTTTATAGTTCTTCTTTATTTTCTTCTGGTCAGCCTCATCATATTCTCTTATGGTCTTTGGGATCACTTTTCTAAGTTTTCCTTCATTTACGTCTTTGGTGGGAATGTATGGTCCATCAAGTATCACGTCCCACAACTCAGTGTCTTCTGCATTGATGTAATCATGCATCCGTGTCTTCCACCATCCATAGAATTGTCCGTTGAAGCGAGGTGGACGGGTGGTAGACTGTCCTTCCTATGGACTCGGTGGAGCAACCATTCCTGCAGGATCTTTCTTCTCTTGGTGTTAACTAGATAGAGAAGTCGCTGCTCTGATACCATTTGTTAGAAGGTATGCGTCCACTAACGATGGGACCGGGTCCTTTACACAGTAATGATGCATGAAAATAAATACAGAAAGTAAAGAGAAGACACAATTCTT